GTATGCCTGTGCCTAGGCTAGTTTGGATGTGTGTGTGTGTGTGTGTGTGTGTGTGTGTGTGTGTGTGTGTATATACCATTTTATGATTTTATATCATATGTGTTCTGGCCTTATGCCCAAAAAGAGGAACCAAACGCAACTGATTACTACCTAGAAAGGAGCCAGGGCATTGCTTTGCTGTGTCTTGCCTTTGCCACAAGTGTGTGTACTGGGAGTGAGAAATTGTTTGCTGAGTGAGAGGTAGAGAGAGCCAAGAAGTCAAAGCAAGCAATGTTGCATTGCTTGTGTTCATTTGATCTCAATTAACCTTTTCTAATGGTCTCTCTTTTTTGGCCTTTAAGAAAATGTGAGGCCTCAGGCATTGGTAAAAAATGTTGTTTAACCCCATTTTTCTTTAAGCTTCTGAAATCTTTCTGTATCGCCTTAAGCACTTTGCAGCCTGTCAATACTTACCAGTTTTATAAAGGCTCTGATGTTACTCTGGTTTGCATATTTTGCAATATATTGCCAGCTAGTTTTGTGTCTGGCTTTTTGTAGTGAGCTGTTTAGTTGCACAAAAGAGAGTAGAGAAGCTGCAGCCCACAGGCAAGGGCAGTGACAGGGAACTAGTCTTATGACTTCCAGTAGAGAGCAGACCATTATAAATAATGCCCATATATGTTTGTAAGGTATTGCAGAGAGTGGGCTAGATTTAATTAGGTGATGCTTTGAAAATGCCTGCATGAGGAGAGGATCAGCTGTTGAATTCATTTCATCCCTCAGGGACAGCTCTGCCAAAGAATTTTCTGTGTGTTTGTAGATGTTCTGTGTGCATGTTGTCTTGTCCCATTTATTTATATTAACTCGTGCAGTAATCCCACTTTTGTAATCCATATGCATCCCTCTTTATGCCCATCTAAATAGAGCTGATTCTTAAAATCATCATCACTGTGTTGTGAGGCCTTAAGTCTTTTGGTAATGCTTGCTGGCTGGATTCTGTCTGAAGTGGAGAGCATGGGCACAAAGGGCATTAGCATTTCTCCCATTTAAGAGTTGGACAGTAGTATATGGCCTGTGTAGTAGGGAACTGTGGATCCTTTTGAGCCATGGTGTATGAGAGGTCACCAAGACCTTTGCTGCATGCTCCTCGGCAGGAATATGGAGGAGTGGAGACTGCCCACACCTTCCTTCCCCCCTTCAGGCCACTGAAAGAGAATCCGAAGTCCAGACCAAGTTTGGACTTCCAGTGCATGGAAGTTCTGTGTGCATCCAGAAATCAAACCCAGGTTTCCTGCAGGGCAGAAGAGGATTCTACCACCGAACCACAACACTAGGAATGCTGCTCTGGAAAAGAGGGTCTTGAGCTCCTAACACTGGTGCATCTGTAGGGGGTAGGGTACAGAACAGAGCCATGCTCTGTTCTATTTGCCAAAATTGAGAAGGCATTTAGCTAACAGTGACAAAGGGGGTGATTTATTGCTGGTATTTCTAAGCAAATGAGGAAACGTATCTTAACACAGAGCTGGCCAACTTCTAAGTGGCCTGGGGCCACATGCCACACAGCCCACATCAGCAGGGGCTGCACCAGTGAGATCTATAGGCCCTCAGGCCTGTATGTCGCATGCCCCCACCCCCAGCTGCACTACATGCCTGGGTGCGCCCAGTCCATTGGGTGCCCTTCCCCATTCCTGGCTGCACTAGGCATGGAAGCTCTTCCCCACACTGCACCAGGTTACCCCCAGCTCCCCTGCTGCATGGTGCTTTTTGTGCTTTGGGATGCTGGCTCCCCCAGCTTAAGCACTACAGGCTCTTGGGTTGCACCAACCTGCCCTTGTGGTGGGGAAATGGAAGCTGCAGGGAAAGAGGGCCCAGAGACCCTGGCTGCTTCTGCAGGTGGATGGATGAGGGAGTGACACCCAGGTGGAAATCTGAGGGGTGCAATTTAGCCCCTTGCAGGCCACCAGTTGGACAGCCTTGATCTAAGGCAGTTGACAGAGACAGGGCTTCTTCTGCAGTACTGCATAAGCAGGATCTACTCAAACAGATAAAAAGAGCCACACAGTTTATTAAATCTTAAATAGGATCAATACAAAATGTACATAAAAAGCAGTACAAATTTTACAAATATACATCATCTGTATTTCATTCTTGAATTGTCAGGCTGTGCGTTGCTATGCCTAGAACTTCTGAGGTGCATGTTTCTTCCACTCTCATTCTCTTACTTTCACGTGACATTTGAACCCAGTGGTCCAACCAATTAACGTCTGACATCAGTGCTTGAGCTTCCTTGTCAGTAGATTGTTCAGTGTGTAAACCCAATTATGAACTGCTCCTTTAATTCCACCTGGTATTTCCTAACCTATTGCCTTCCACAGTCTTCCACATATTGCACTTGTTTAACAGCTTATTCTAATACAGACAGTTTGGCAAAGATGGAATAACAGTTACAAATATTAGCTCTTTAGATCTACTGAAAGACTTGATAAGATGTGAAGCCACTAGTATACTTGGAAATGCTGTAAAGATTTACAAGAAGACGGAGAGGCCCAAGGGGGTTAATAGTGCTGACTGAGGTGACCACATTAGTAATTGAAACTCCATTTAAAAGTAGTATAACATTACTTGTGATCAAGATGAACAGTAGATAGCCCCTGAAGGACAGCAAGAAAAAATTTTAAAAATAAAAAAAAATAAGAATAAATAAAGCAATTTTACTTCCAGTGGAATTGGAGTACTTAAACAGTCTTTTTGATTCTTTTTCTGCGTTTTCCTACAGTATTCCAATAAAGGCATGTATAAATAATAGAGTAGGACCAGCAATTTGTAGACAGTAAAAACAGTATGTTCAGGACTATTTTTCATCAGGCTGGTTATGGTACCTTTTTAAAATCCCATTTTACAACTGCTAAAGAAGAGAGTGAGGTTTTTTTCCTCTTCAGAATGTGTCTATCTGTGAGCTCTTATAGGATTTGTCTTTAAGGCTGTTGAATATTTCTTTGGCGCCATTCTGCCACTGAAGTACAAGATCCATAGGGGTTTTTCCTTCCTATTTAATAGAGTGAGGAAAAAACAGGTTTAATTTCAAGAGGTGAATTCCAAAATAAATCTACTATTCTTGTTCTCTCCTAGGTGTGGGTAGCACAGATATATAATGTATGGACTTTGATTCCTAATGGCTACGTATCACTATAGTATTGGGGTGTTGATCCAGGGCAGATAACCAGTTGATCACAAACTTTCCACTAGATTCAGTGGGATCAGGCTATATTAGCCATTTAAATTCCATGTGCAAAATATACAGCTAAATGTTGAATTTACAGCAGATTTATTTTGTCTTAGCTTAAACTGATTACGAATGGGCTGACACTAAGCTACACTCAGCCACTTTGAAACTGAAGAATACCTACATAAGAATTTTCAACATTTTAAACAGGTTTAAAAAATAATAGTGTATGTCAAACATGAGCAAGTTTCATTTTGTAGACAAAGTCTGACCCTCAGTCTCTGTGCATATGCTAATATTGCTATCAGTGACACTGTTATAAAGACTAAATAGTGAACTGAAGAAAGCATCTGGCAATGTTAGCAAGGTGTTAAGCTAGGTGTCAAAACAGATTAATTTCCTTACCCCCAAATTGCTCATTGTAAAAATCATTGATTGAGGGCAATAAAGGTCACTTTCCAACCTGCCAGGGTTTAATTTGCTGTATTTTAGCAACTGGTTGCAGACCTCTGCCTGTTCCACAGCTGCCACTGGCAGACTTTCTAACAACAAAAGGTCAATTTCTTCCTAAATTAAAATTCAGTTTAGCCTGAGATCTCCCCTGATTGACTTAATGTGGCCAACCAGTCAGGTCAATAATTAACCAGTCATCCATTCAACAAGATGCTGTTTCACTGGGGGTTTTAAATGGTACTTGGTTATACAACGTGAGTGTGAGAGT